GGCAGGCGGGAGGGCGCCGGGCGAGGGAGGCCAGGACGCAGGGGCAGTCCTCGGGGGCTCCGTCAGCAGCAGGGGGACACTGATGCGGGCTCACCGCCGGGCACCAGCCTTTCTGCATACGAGGTGCCACCAGGCTCTCCACTCAGAGGTCTGACACCCGGGTCACGGTCCCCACCTGGCAGCCAGCGTATCAGATGCCATCTTCCTCCTCTGTGGGGATAGCCCCTCCCTGATCTCCCTCTGGACTTAGACACCCTCGCAGCAGCCCTGCACGTCCAGCCTCCCGCCCATGGCAGACACACAGGCCAGGCCGCACCAGCCCGGCCCACCTGCCCGACCCAGCATCCGGGCCGCCGCACAGACCCGTCTGATCATGCGTGTACGATCCCGCTGCAGCCACTGCGTTCGTGCATGTGTGCTGGGCGCCTTCTCCCGGGAACTACGGCATGTTCAGAAGCTCACGGCCCGACCGTCCCGAGGGCCTGCACTCCACCTGCCCCCAGCCACAGGGGCTTCTCTGCCTTACAACGGCCTTGCCCCGAGCTGCCAGGAGGCCGGCCGGCATCTCACTATTCTCTCAAGCTCTTCCTCGCGGCACCCTAAGGGCTCCACGTACCCAGAGTTTGGCTTCAGTCAGAAAGGACCTGAGATATGGAGAAAAAATCCCTCATTTAAATGTCGAGGCCATGGGTCCAGTGAGGCAGAGGGACCAGGATCAAACAGCTCTGCGGAGGCAGAACCGGGCCTTCGGGCATCTGCGTTCTTTTCACTATGTATTTATTTATTTTTAAAGACAGTTTTTTTGCTACAGGGCGCGTGCGCTTGCCACAGAGATAGAAAATGAGAAATCACCCTCCGGGGAATGGGGATGGCCATGCTGCAATCCCTTCTCCATTCTCCTCTCAGGATTTTGGGCATGCATGCATGAGTTCTAACCTACCGGGTCCAGGACTTGAACCGCGGTTGACTCTGTGGGAGTCCAGCAACATAACCATTCCGCCAACTGCTGGTCCCTTTTTTACCTTTTTTTTTTTTTAAAAGGTTTAGAATTGCCCTGGAGACACAGGGTGATGCAAGAGGATTCACTTGGGATGGTCGCAGACCCGTGGCCCAGGGCCCCCCTAAGAACACTGGGCACACACGCGCGCGCGCACACACACACACACACACACACACACACCAGGGTCCAGGCTGGCTGGCACCGGGCGGACTGGCACGTGAGCACCCCTCTGGGTGCCTCTCCCCCTCCCTCACCCTCTCCCAGAAGTCAAGAAAGAAACTTTCTAACAATCGCCTGCGTGCCATGTCTGCCCCCGGCCCATCCTGTGTCTGATCTGGGCCTGAGCCCCGTGCTGTGGCCTCTGTCCTGTTGCCACTCAGCAGCCCGCATGTCCTGTGTGAGCACGTGAAGGCCGGTGCCACAACTCATCTAAGTCTGCAATCCCCAGGGCCCAAGTCACAGCTCAGGGACGATGGCCATTAAATCCCTCCAGCCAGAGCAGAAACGTGGCAAGGCTGCAAAGCCCCCCAGGCCTGGCTGGTGCAGAGCATCCTCAGCTCTCGTCCCCAGCACGGATGCATCCTCTACCCTCACCACTTCACCAGGCCTCGGCCGAACTCCTCCAGGGCAGAGAAAAGGGCACTCCTGGGAATTTGGGGCTAAGCAGAAACTCCTGCCAGCAGTCTAGGTGAAGAGGTTTATTTCCTTGGGCCCGAAAGCACGTCTGTTTTGGGCCTGAGAAGCTCTGAAAACAAGCGGAAAAGAGCAGATGCCCCTCTCGGGAAAGAGCTGGCCAAGAACGGTGGAAGGTGCACCTCTGCCTCCCCCTCCCCGCAGGAGCCGCTTGGCTGTTCTAGGCTGGCACTCCCATGGGTCGGCTCCTCCCTGAACCACCCTCGGACAGGAGAACCAAAGCCCCTTCAGGCCTTCAAAGGGGACAGTCCTGGCGAAGGCAGGGCAGACCTTTTTTTAGATTCAAGAACACTACAAGGAGGCGCCTGTCTCTGGTGACAGTGAAGACAGCTTTAGGTGCTCTGCCCCGGGGCTGTGGGGCATCTGCAGATGCAGACAGAAGGCACAGGGGTGGAGGGTGGTCTTACCTTTGGTGAGCGCTGCAGGGGGCAGGTCGGATTCAACATCCCACGCGGAAGAGCAGTTACTGCTGGGCTGGGATGAGTAGGCCGGGGAAGTCTCTCTCCACAGAAGCGAACTGTTCAATCTTGTTTTTCACAGACGCGAGGACCTATCAAAGACACCATTGAGGGGCCAGCAGGTGGCACGGTGGTTAAGGCACTAGACTTCCACCTGGCCGCCTGCAGTTTGAGTGCCAGACCTGGTGGTTTGAAATTCATGCCAGGTGTGTGTGCGTGTGTGTGTGTGTGTGTGTGTGCACGCCTCAAGTCCCAGGAGGAGAATGGAGGAACAAGGACTGTGGTGAGGCCATCCTCCCTGGAGGCTGATTTCTCACTTTGCCGCTCACTGTCTCTCTGTTTGAATTCATGCGCCCTATGGCAAAAATCTTTTTAAAAAATGGATGACATTGGGACCAGTAGTTAGTGTCATGGCTATGTCGCTGGACTCCCATGTGATCAACCGCAGTTCAAGTCCCGGACCAGTGGCTTAAAGTCACACCGGGCATGTGTGCGTGTGTGCCCAAGATCCCGAGAGGAGGGGACCCGCAGTTAGCATAATGGCTATGTCGCTGGACTCTCACGTAGTCCACCACGGTTTGAGTCCCAGACCCGGTGGCTTAAACTCACGCTGGGCATGTGTGCGTGCGTGCTCAAGATCCCAAGAGGAAAAAGGAGGAGAAGGGATTGCAGCGTGGCCATCCCCCTTAGGGGGTAATTTCTCACTTTCCATCTCTCTGTCTCTCTCTCTTTCTGGCAAGCGCACGTGCCCTATAGGAAAAACTTCTCAAAAAAAAAAAAAAAAGAGAGACCCTGGCATTTGGTAGAATGTGGATACATTCCCCTTGGGGGGTGATTTTTCACTTTCTGTCTCTATGTTTCTCTCTGTCTTTCTGGCGAGCACATGTGACCTGCAGCAAAAACCTCTTTGGAAAAAAAAATGAAAAAAAAAAGTTGATGACAAATGCTGTATTACAGAATCTCACCCTCCACCGTCAATGTAGGCTTCAGGTCCTGCTCCCATCAGGGGACCCGGTGTGCTGTTAGGCATTGCTCATTTCTAACTGCCTGGATATTCTCGGTAGGGTACCCAGAGAACATCAAGCTCAATGAAGCTTTGTGTTTATCTAGAATAGTCTACACAGCTAGTAAAGCCGGATAGGAAAGGAAAGCAAATGAATTAGCACGAGGGGATTTTTTGCAAAATGACGAAATCCCGAGGGGCTCCCTGCCAAGCAGCACCCCAGCAGGGACAGGTGTGGGTGGAGTTGGCCCGGCCTGCGCACCTGGTAGAGCGAGCGGACGCTGGGCTGGAAGACCACGTTGGTGTTGAGCAGGAAGGAGCGCAGCAGCGGCTGCGGGTAGCTGGCCAGCTGAGTGACGATGCCGATGAGCAGCAGGTTCACGTGCAGCGAGTTCTCCAGCATGTTCTCCAGCTTCGACAGGACCACGCTGATGAACGGGCCTGTGGGAGGGACGGACACGCGGCTCAGGCGGGCTGGGAGGGCTGGGGGTCCTTTCCTCACAACTGTGGAGCCCCCCCGGAGCCGCGGCCCCCAGGACACCACAGGCCTGCCAGGTGCAAACCCAGACTGACCGTTACAGACGGGCTTCAAAACATCCATGGAAAATGAAATTAAAGTAGTTTATTCTGCTGCAAAAAAAAAAATGTATAAATCCATGCATACTTTTTTCATGGTACACATTTTCCATGTACTTTTGAAGACCAAGACCCCCCAACACGACCACCCCATACAGCTAGGTCTTCTCCTGCCTTGAGACAAAACAGATAATAAGCCACTGCCACAAAAAGAAGACATTACATAACATATATGTATGTGTGTGTGTATAGCATATATGCAAATACATACATATATGTTTAATGATTTGAAAATTACTACAGACCTTGAACGAAATTAGACAAATCATTTCATAATTGAACTATGCTTCTCCACACCGTGGCTGCACCTCCTGGTCTGCTGATGCTCACAATATGACACTTATCCTCTCGTGGTGCTCTGAAGTGAAGGCTTTCACGCAAACAGCGTGGCCACTGGAGATCTGGTAAAGGCCCAGCCTCGGTGGTGCAAGTGGAAAGGTGTCACTGAGCACTGTCTGAGGCCTCACGGGAGGCGCGGGTTTGGTTCCCAGTCCCGCCTGAACAGGCTGGCTGTGGTGGTCCCAGATAACTGAGAGGCGGGGGCAAGGGACAGCAATGTGGGGAGGCCCCGTCCCACAGCAATCATTCTCTCTCCCCCGGATTCTCACTTGTTCTCTTCCCATTTAAAGAAAAACATATTGGGAACCAAAAAAACCTGTTTATTAAAGAATACCAAATATAGCCCAACTCCATGGCACCACAGTAAAGCGCTACTCAAGAGAAGCCAGATTCACCAGCAGATGGCGTAATGGCTACATTCCTGGACTCCCACATTGTGGACCACAGTTCGAGTCCCAGACCCAGTGGCTTAAACTCACGCCGTATGCGTGTGCATGCATGCCCAAGATCCCGAGAGGAGAATGGAGGAGAAGGGATTGCGGCGTGGACATCCCCCCTGGGGGGTGATTTCTTGCTTTCTGTCTGTCTTTTTCTGTTTTTCTGGCAAGCACACGTGCCCTATAGCAAAAACCTCCCAAAAAAAAAAAAAAAAGAGAGAGAGAGAGGGAGAGAGAGAGAAGTCGGAGTCTACGATCCGGCAACCACAGTTCAAATCCCTGGTCCAGTCAGCCTGAGATACTCCAGTCTTTCAGGCAACAGCCCAAGATCCAATGAGCTAAGGACTGTAGGGAGGGGAAGGTGCTTCTCTTTCTCTTTCTCTCTCATGTGCACAGACATACTTCATCATGAATAAAGAAAAAAATACCAAATACATACAAGTTATCTTCATCAAATAGCAATCTGTGAGCAGGGATCTTCTGTTCTGAGAAAGATTCTGCTTCATCAAGTCTCACCATGTGGAAGAACAGGAAAAAGAGACTGGGATGAATGAGGCCCTGGGCTACAACTTAGTAGTCCTGGCAGCTCGGTGCCATGTTGGATCGCGGTTGGTCTCCCAAAGGTTCGGGAAGCCTGATACCCAGGATAACGGCATTGGAAGGGGGTGAGACCTTTAAAAGATGGGGCTTAATGGCAGGGCACCATCCAATTGTCTGGGAGTGCGGGATGGACAAACAGAAGTGCAGAATTCTATTTCCTCTCTTTGGCCCTTCCCCACCTTCCCCTTCACTTCTGTCGGCCATGAGGTGATGCTGCACTGGAGGCTGGCCTGCTGCTGGCAAGCCTTTGGACTTGCCAGTCATCAGACTCTTGAGCCAAATAAACCTCTATTCTTTTCTTTTTTTTAAAGAGGTTTTTGCTATAGGGCGCATACGCTCACCAGACAGAGAAAGAGAGACAGAAAGTGAGAAATCACCCCCCTGGGGGGGATGGCCATGCCGCAATCCCTTCTCCTCCATTCTCCTCTCGGGATCTTGGGCACGCACGCACACGCACCCGGCGTGAGCTTTAACCCACTGGGTCCGGGACGCAAACCGCAGTCGACTACGTGGGAGTCCAGCGACATAGCCATTACACTAACTGCTGGTCCCATAAACCTCTGTTCTTCATAAATCAGCTAGAACTGGGCAGTTAGCAACATAATAGCAGACGAATGCATGCCCTAACCACATGGGGATTTTCAGAAGATAGAGAGAGGGAAGGGACTCCATTTGGGGAGATATAATTTGGTGTGTTATCAATTTGTTAAAGAAAAGTAAATCCACACAACTACAAAAGCAGTTCTTAAAAACAAGATTAGGCAAAAGGATGTCTGCTCCTTTGGGTCACTAGAACATGAATATGCTTTATGTCTGAGTTCGCAGAAGGCAGGCAAGCAGGAAGTAGTAAGTTCAGCATTAGTAAAATTACTTGAAGATGCTTTGAATTTGTACCATAAAAGTGTTCTATTAAACAAAACCAGTGAGAAGTTTGCAGTTCCCCCGCTAGCGCTATTGAGGATGCCATTAAACCATGGCCTATGTGTAATAGAAGGCCATAACCCTTGATAGTCCGTGTCGTCCGTGGGCACTTCGCCAACTAACACTGAGCAGATGCACACTTCAGCACACGCTGCTCCCCTGGTTGTGCAAGAGAGTAAAACTCCTGCAAGAAAACAGAAGCTATCTGCGAGAAGTGAGCATGCCAAACCCGGGCCCTTTACCCACACTGGTGAGAAACAGGACAGCTGCCGCAGTCCCATCTCTAGAATACTGGGGATGTCTCCAAGAGGTCTCGAAACAGAAAAGGCAGCCTCCCCTGATTTATCGAGTTTAGCCTCCACGTGCCCATCCCTGGGATAACGGTAGAGCTCTGTGGTCACTGTCCATGACTCAGCGTCAAGGAACTCTTCCCACAGAGAGCCCGTGGAGAGCTTGCCAAACAAACCAAGAGAATTTGCAAGGCACCTTCAGAAGCTCTGGCTGGATCCCAGTTTAAAAGCAACCAATGGTTTTCTCATTAGGAACCTCAGAAATGTCAATGGTAACTCTTCTTTTTCTTAGAATTATTATTATTATTATTATTATTATTATTATTATTATTTAATTTCTTACAGAGCATGTGCACTCATGAGAGACAGAGAATGCCGCCAGGTCTGGGACTTGAACCTCAGCCAATGTGGAAGTCCAATGCCTTAACCACCACGCCCCCTGCTGGCCCCACTGGTAAGTCTTCTCAAGGCATTGTGACACAAGCCTGGCCTTCCTGGTAAGACTACAGGGAGAAGGCTGCTACCTTATCTCCTGCATGTTGGACCCAGTCTTTCCAAGCCCCCTGGGGGCTCCCCTGTGGTCCCTGGCTCAGTGTCTATTTCATTCCCAGATGGAGCAAAAAGAGGACAACTATGATGCACGGTCTTCTGTAAAACCCGTGTTTTATGGGATGTCATGGCCCAGTGTCCCCTCTCCAATCCCGGACGGCGCTTGTACTCACCTGGACATCCTAGAGACATGGAACCTGCTGGCCATTCTGTGACCAGGGGAGACCGTCTACATGTAGCCCAACTACCGGAATGGGGGGGACCAACTTGAACCCCACACTTTGTGGAGAGTGAGAGCATGTCATTATTGTCTCCCTTGAATGACTGAATTTTGGGTCAAGGCAAAACAGCCTGGAGGTTATGTGAGCTGGATTCCACATGACGAACTGTGAGGTTCAAGTCCCAGACACGGCGACTTAAAAATCATGCCAGGCTGGGACCAGCAGTTAGCGTCATGGCTATGTCGCTGGACTCCCACGTCGTCGACCGCGGTTCGGGTCCTGGACCCGGTGGCTTAAAGCTCACACCGGGCGCATGTGCGTGCGTGCCCAAGTCCCGAGAGGAGAATGGAGGAGGAAGGATTGCAGCGTAGCCATCCCCCCTGGGGGGAATTTCTTGCTTTCTGTCTTTCTGTGCCTGCCTTTCTGGCGAGCACACATGCCCTATAGCAAAAACCTTTCAAAAAAAGAAAAAGAAAAACATGCCAGGCGTGTGTGTGTGCCCAAAATCCTGAAAGGAGAGAGAGATGAGGAGTAAGCATTGTGGCATGACCATCCCCCACGGAGTCGCTTTCTTACTCTCTCTCTCTCCCCAGGGAACGCATGCACCTCCTGGCAAAATGTTTTTTTAAAAAGAAGCCTGTCACCGTAGTCCATTAATGACGTTAATTACAACTTCTTAGGAATGTGCCATAAAAAATAAGCAGTGAGCCCTTTCCAATTCCCATTTTATTCACGGCTGGTTTCTAGCACTGAACAACAGAAACCACTTAGCAGAGAGCGGTTGCTAGTGGAAACCAGGAAGCCACTGACAATCAGAAGACTCTAGAATTCAGAAAGCCACAGGTGTGCCCGGGGAAGGAGGGGGCGTTTCTCACCTCTTCCCCGAGGAGGACAGATGAACTCCCCGCCCATAAAATATTTAATTTCTCTGAGCGACTAAGGCTGTCCCCACTGCCCCTCCTGTCACTCGCATCCCTCCCCAGATCTGCCTCAGCTCTGCCTCTGTTGACCCCGCTCCCTCTTCCTGCATTTCCTAACTCCAGGAAGGGAGCTGCTGTCAGCTCTGCAAATTCTGGCCTGAAAATACCTGCGTGTGCTCACTCCACCCACCCCCTCCTCGTGGCCACAGGCCAAAGCCTCGTCCTGTCTTGTCTGAACCCCAAACAGCTTGTCTATTTTTAATAGCAATTAGAACCATTTTTTAAACATATGTATTTTTAAATAGTATAAGGGTATAAAATGAAAAACAGGTCCTCCTTACCCCAGAGGAGGCCCCTGCTAACAGATTCTAGTGTGTTCTAGAAAGGTTCTGTGTACACAGTAAAACGAGCGTTATTACTGAGATCATTTACTAAGCACGCCCGTGTGCCAACCAGGGTCCTAAGCACCTCTCGGGCGACTCGCTCAAGACGCACGCCCCTGGGATCTTGGAGTAGTTCTGTCTTTTAACTTTGAGGCAGGATGGTGAACAATGGCTAGCAAATCATAATGTAACTTTTAATCCAGATCACCTGTTTCCGGTGAGTGTTTTGTTTTGTTTTTACTAGAGGGTGCATGTACACTCGCCAGAGAGAGACAGGGAGGGAGGGAGGGAGGGAGGAAAGGAAAGTGAGACGTCACCCCCTGGGGGATGACTCCTCTAGTCTCCTCTCAGGACTTTGGGCATGCACACAAAATGCACCTGGTATTTTTTTTTTCAAGCCACCGCATCCGGGACTCGAATTACACAGTCAGCTATGTGGGATGCAGCACCTTAATTTCCCTGCCACCTGTTGGTCCCGTTCCCAGTGATCTTAAACCAACATGTGATCTGGCCTCCCAGGTGGGTGTGTGGGTGTCTCCTGCTTTGTTTGTTTGTTTAAGCAAATAGGAACGTTGTCTATACACTAATTCCTAACTTGCTTTCTGACTACATCACAGAGACTGCCCCCTATCGGACAGAGACTGCCCCCTATCGGCTAACACAGGTCTGTTTCCTGCATCTGGGGGCCGCGGATGTTTGTAAGGGTGTGGTGTTCATAAGTTAGCCTCCCGCGGGGTTGGGCACCGGGGTGTTTCCAGTCTTTCTCTGCTATAAACCGCGCTGCGGTGAACATCCTTGGACCTGCGTCTCGGCACAGAGGGGCGACAGCTGCGTCCACAGCACTGGTGCAGTCTGGGTCGACACCAAACAGCCTCTCGCTTGCTCTCTGGGGCCATCACACCCTACTCCAGCCTCTCCCGCAGTCCTACCACAGCCGGCTCCCCCAGACCCGATGCCCGCAGGGTCCCCTCAGTGCCAGGATGCAAGGTCCTCATTGCTCAGCGTGGTCCGAAAGGTCCCCATAAGCTGGCATTGGCCACACTGTGGCTCCCTGCCCTACGGTCCAGACAGCCACACCCCAGGGGTTGCTGGGCTCTTAGGCCTTGCCTCTCTGTGACCTCTGCCCATCCACGTCCCCCTGGGGCCTCTGCTCCCTGTAAGGGCTCCTCCCTGCAGCCTCCCCCGTCCCAGACTCCGGGACTCAGCACCCATTTCTCATGACGACAGTGCAGTTCTTTGTTGGTGTCTCCTCCAAACGTCTACGAATGCCTTTAATTTTGTGTCCACAGGGACGAGTACAGAACCTGCCAAATATTAGGGGATCAATAGAAGACTGCTGAATACATGAATAAATAAAGGTAGATAAATGGAAGGCTTTGATTTTGCTGAGAAGCAAATTCATTTCAACGCAAATCGGGACTCCCTGCGGAGGAGGACGGTGAGTCTAATACCACAGAACACACCCCGAAGTCGGGGTGCCGTGGAGCACGCATCCCAGGGAGGCCAGACGCTGCCTCTGAAGCCGTGTGTGGGTTTCAGAGGCGGAGAGAGGCGAGGTTTTAGTTCCAATTACCTGTTCGTATCAAAGAACCCCCATTATGCCTTGTCAGCTCTCAGGTGTATTTTATGTAAAATATTAGTGTTATTTAATACGGCTTTTTTTTTTCTGCCCTAAGCTAGACTTTATTTCCTCAATTTACATATTTCCCGGGATGAAGCTCGTGTATAAGAAAACTGGATTTTTTTTCCCCCCTTAACCACAGAGCATGTGCACTCACCAGAGATAGACAGTGACAGAGAGAGGGGAAACATGACCCCAGGGAGCACGGTCATGCCCCTTCTCTTTATTTCTCCTGGAGAGATTTAGGCACCACACACACACGCACACACACACACACGCACGCACACACACGCACACGCACGCACACGCACACGCACGCGTGCACACACGCGCACACGCACACACGCGCGCACACATGCGCACACACGCGCACACACACGCGCACACACGCACACACACGCACACACACGCACACACACACACACGCACACACACACGCACACACGCACACACGCACACACACACACGCACACACAAATATGCCCAGTGTGTTCTCCAAGCCACCAGGGCCAGGATTCAAACCATGGGCAGCCATGTGGGCTCAGCTTCCTTAACCGCCAGGCTATGGGACTGCTTGGAAATTCTAGAGAACCGTCCTCATTGGCTCAGGAAGCCCCGGGGGATGTCCTGCTGGTAACGGGCAGACCCTAGGCCAGGCTGTCATGTCTGCTAGGTCACTCTGCCCCTTCTCTCTTAGGGAGCCCTCCTATTCCCTCCCATACCTGTCCCCCCCATCAACTGGGAAAAGTGAGATTATAATCCCTTTTCCTTATGATGGACTGATTGAATTTTAATTAAAACTCCTTCACACTGAAATGTTATCTCAACCAGAACCTCCAGCCTTTTAATTGTGGAATTAAAAGCTTTCTCCCTGTTTAAATAAATCTTCAGGCATCGGTAAATAGATGAATAAATATTGCAGGAGTGGGCGGGAGAGCTCCTTGAAATATGGCAGGATGCCAACTGGCCTGGACTCTGGGCGTCTGCTCCACCTGTTCGGGTGACCCGGAAGCTGGGAGCACAGCCCCCCCACCGAGCATCTCCGGAGTCTTAGCTGAGGCCTCTGAGGGCTGCTGGGATCAGTTCTGGCCACCTCCCGGGGTCCCACTCAGTCTGCACAGGGGCAGATGGAAGGTCGGAAATGCCAAGGCCACGTGGCTGTAAGTACCAAAGCTGGGATTTGCCCACGGGCCCGACTGCAGGGCCTCTGCCTGTCCTTGAGTCTCCGCACCTGTCTGTGCAGTCTGAGCACTCCTCGGGGTCCCCCCCAGTTTGCCCGAGCTGCAGCCCCCCACTGGTGGCAGCTGCCTCTGCATCTCCATGTGCAGAGACTTCACTGGCTAAGGGCTAGTGACGTTTTCTGCCGTAACTCCTCACGCCACTCACCCGACATCCCACACTGTCCCTCCGCCCGCTGCGTGACATCTGCCTGTCACTGGTGGAGTATCACCCAGACACACCCACTGTCTAGTGGAGTGACGCTCTTACGTGGGTCTCCTCTACTCGGCTTTAGAGGAAGACGTTGTGCTTCTCTGAAGTGAGCTCCCAGCCAAGGGCACATGAACCCCACTGGCCACCAACGTGGGCACACAGCTGTCACTCAGCAAGTCCCGAGCTCCTACTAAGTGCTCTGTCCACTGCTCAGGTGCCAGGAACGGAAAAGAAATCAAACACACCTCTGCCCTCGTGAAGCCTATGTTCTAGCCAGGGGGACGGGAATTAAAATGAAAAAGCATGCACATACGGGCCTAGCCCCACAGCCTGGCAGTTGAGGGAGTCACATGGCCGACTGCGATGTGAATCTCAGCCCTGGCAGCTTGAAAAACACGTGCCGAGGGACCAGCAGTTGGTATAATGGCTATGTCGCTGGACCCCCATGTAGTCGATCCCAGTTTGAGTCCCGGACCCGATGGCTCGTGTGTGCGTGCGTGCCCAAGATCCCAAGAGGAGAATGGAGGAGAAGGGATTGCAGTGTGGCCATCCCCCTGGGGGGGGGGTGATTTCTCGCTTTCTGTCTCTGTCTCTTTCTGGTGAGTCCACGCGCCTTATAGCCAAAAAAGAAAGAAAGAAAGAAAAAAGAAAAAGAAAAAGACATGCCAGATGCCAGACAGAAGGGAGAAATGGAGAGGCGACTGTGGTCCCACCAATGCCTCACTGTGGGTGCTTTCTCCTCTCTCTCCCTCCCTCTTTCTGTCTCTCGAGAAAATGCATGCACCCTCTGGCAATTCAAAAAAAAATACACATGTAAGTAAGTGCTAAGGAGAAAGATAAATCAGGCTCAAGAAAACGAGGTTACTAAATAGAAAGACTGGATCTTTTGTGGTTCGATCGGTCCGGTCACTTCATCACAGACATCAAGACGAGGTTCCCACCCCTCGCCTGC